TGATTCTGGCAAAACTAAATTTAGACTAATAAACTGTTTTCGCAACCAATTTAAACTGGGGTGTGTGTAACATGGGTGAGTACATGGGAACTCACTATTTATCATCTGTTTTCCTTAAGTATTTTAGAAGTTTTATCTAATTTACTGACTTTCTCTCAAAGTTTTTCGGATTTTTTTAATCTATGCCAAAATTTGTCTTCGCCTGTTGATCTTTAGTTTAATACTTTTGTTTAGTCTCAGTAACCTTCTTCTGTCTTACAAGCCTTTTAGAAGGTTTTCTTCATATTTTTGCTCAGTTTCCAATTTTTTCTCATTCTCTATCTCTCTCCTATTACGGATAGATTTGGTCTTAATGAAAATAAGATTGAGACGTATTGAACGGGGTTTATAATATATCCGTAATAGAAGAAAAAATGCACAAACAAGTATAATTAAACAATATGATTTACTGAAAACAACCCCACAAATATATTGGCAAAACTTGGATATACCAAAAATTACAATATTTATAACACAATAACTCTTACAAATTGACACTATGGAACACCGGCTAACGCTGAGAAAATCTGTCGAATGACCAGCTGGTGTAAAGCCATCTTAGTGGCCAGAGCCAACGTCATCATTCTTAAATTGACAAATCGTAACACTCTCTCGTTCTCTCTCTCTCATCCCATCCCATCCCATCCTTCCTCCCTCCTTACTCTCTCTCCCTCTCATTCCATCCCATACCATCCTTCCTCCTTACTTTCTCTCTCTCTCTCTCACACACATCCCATCCCATCCTTCCTCCTTACTCTCTCTCCCTCTCATTCCATCCCATCCCATCCTTCCTCCTTACTCTCTCTCTCTCTCTCTCTCTCTCTCTCTCTCTCTCTCTCTCTCTCTCTCTCTCTCTCTCTCTCTCATCCCATCCCATCCCATCCTTCCTCCTTACTCTTTCCCCCCTGTCTTCCCCCTGTCCTTTATCTCCCCCCTCTCACTCTCTCACTCTTTCTCTCTTTCTTTATTTCAGTTATTTGTTCTTTAATTCCCTCTCTCACTTTCTGTACCTCTTTTTTCTCACTTCCTTTCTTTCCTTGCATTCTCTCTCTCTCTCTCTCTCTCTCTCACACACACACACACACACACACACACACACACACACACACACACACACACACACACACACACACACACAAACAGTAAAGGGTAAAAATAACTGATTAAGGGTGCCAAAACATAAAACATCAGCATTCAACAAATCATTTATACTTGAAGCAACGTTTAAGTTTTAATAATTTAATTGCAAATTTAAATATAAAACAAAAAAACTCAATAGGAGGAAACATCTGAATTAAAAAATATTGATGTTTTACTAAATAGCTATTGAAATTTAAATACGTGTTGTGTAAACATGCGTTTGATGTTAATGACTAATTTTATTATTTATTTATTTCTACTGTGTTGTTTGATTGAACTTGAGGGATTTAAAATTGCATAGTTTTGTTATTGAGTAAATTGTAAATTGTTAAAATGTATGTAAAATGTTGTACATAATATATAATTTTTACTAGTTTAATATGTACATTTGTAAAATTAAATACATAGTGTAACTCGATAAAATTTGTGTGAGTCTTGTAAGAAAGGACAAAAATATCCTAAAAATGCACACATAGTATAAACAGAAAAATAAAAAAATCAAGTCAATTCTCTCTAAATTCGTTTTAAGTTATTTTATTTTTTTTTTAAATCAATATTCTTTAGTGTTTTTTTTTTTTGGTTATGTATAGTTTGTTTGTAGTCCTTCTTGTTGATACGAAGCCATGGGACATGCTAACTATATTTCTTTATATGTACGGGTGAAAGATATTCAAATCAAAACTTTTATATTTAATATGGTTGAAGCCATAATTTTGAAGATTGTGAATAGACGATTGTATTTATAAATTGTTCAAATCATTAGTAATAGTTTCAATTCCCTGATGAACTGGATATCCTCGAAAGCTTGACGAAGGAACTGAGCGTTATTTCCATCTTTTAAATTTGCCTTATCCCTGATTTTTTAAATATATAATTAATTATATGCCCTATTAACTTGATATAATTCTAATATCGAAAATTCTTATTGTATACAAATAATCGAACCGACAGGTATTTAGCATTAATAAGCGGTCAACTTCAAAACGTTTAATTAGCTTTGTAGGCTGATCATAATTTTGAAAGCGTTCGGTTTAATCAACAGGGTTCATCATTAATCATTTAAGGGGTCAACTTGCTAAGGATAGTTTTATGCTAATAACGTTGCGGAAACACAAATTAAACTTAACACAAATTAATTAAGTCGAATAGTTAATTTAACAAAACGGAGAATTCGTTTATAATATATTTGTAGCCTGTAGAATATAAAAATACATGTTATAAATATGAGCGTGTTTTTTTCCATCCGGTCACATCACTGCACCCCTGGATCCAGGTTAAGAGAAACCTGCCAAAATTTTTTGTGTGGGGGTCGGTGGCCTCACTGCTTTAGACGTTGCTCAAGGCGCTCATCATTGTAATGTAAAGGTCCCGGGTTCGAATCCTGCTCAAGGGAGTGAGACAATAGAGTTTGAGTTTTTACGGTCAAATTAGATTTCGGTCCTAAAACCCTTCGTAGATGTCCAAGCCGTCAGTTAAGTTTGAGAAAGGCGACAAACAAGAAATTCAGGCACATATATTATCACTAAACCTGACAAAAATAGCGGGAAATATTCTAAATCTAAAAAACATAAACTGCTGATGATAGGAAAAGTTTAACTTCCGTTTATTTTCTTCCTTCCGTAGGGTTTCCACGTCAATGTCTGCTGTCTAGGTACAGACTTGAGTGGCAGTCAGTAGCTCCGTGTTATTACCCGACAAAACTGTTTTTTCGATGTAAATGACCTTATAGTTTTCCATGTCTTCTGCTATCGTGAATCTTCGGTTAGATTATGAACCATCGGCCCTAGAAAAAAAGGTGTATTGCCTGGGCGCGTTCTTAGACGTAGCACAAGCTTTCGACAGGATCTGGCATCCAGGCATACTTTTTAAACTTTAGCGCTTCCTACCCTTTCATTATTACCTTTTATTGAAATCCTACGTAACTGATCGCTCTTTCAAAGTGAGGTGTGGCAATGAATTCTCGGAGTCAAACAGATACAGGCCGGTGTACCGCAAGGTCCTATCCTATACATCAATTATACTGCTGACCTACCAATACATCCTGACACTATTATCACCACCTACGCGGACGATACTGCAATACTATTATCTAACTAGAATCCTGTCCAAGCTACCTCCAACATCCAGAAACACCTTGAGCTTATCGAAAACTGGTGTAAATAATGAAGGGCAAGAATGAACGAAGAAAAATGCACTCAGTGTTCTTTTATGCTGAAAAAGCAGTCATGCCCTCAGTTGTACATCAACAACAAAGGGGTTTTTAAATTTCCACTAAAGTCAAATACCTGGGACTATATCTCGACAGCAGACTGACGTGGAATCCCCACACAAGACTTAAAAAACAACTTAATACAAGCCTTGGACTACTACGAAGACTTCTAAGAATCGACTTTGAAATTAAGACAAAGCTAACACTGTACAAGACTTTACTAAGCCCAATATGGACATACGACTGTGGGGTACTGTCAAGCCTTTCGATATCCAGCGCATCCAGTCCTTCGAATCTTAAATCCTTAGACAAATTGTCAAAGCACCTTATTATATCACTAACCTCACTATCCACACAGAACTCAGCATTCCTTTTGTCAACGGACTAATCCGGTCAAAATTCCAACCCTTCCACACCAGCCTTTCGATCCATCCTAACCATACTGTTCGAGCCCTCTCCACTCGTTCCCATCCTGACTGCATACCACGTCTCAACCGACGATAGCCTCACGACCTCCTTGACCCCTTGACACACACTGACCAGCAGTGACTATGTTCTTGAGCACCGTTGCAGTGCTGCCATTAGTTCTAGTGTTGTGCTGTGTGATATATTAATAATGTGTACATATTTGTACAGTATACTATCATGTATAGATAACAAATAAATTTTAAAAAAGATGATGAAAATGGATTAGGTTTCGTGGTCCGATTGACCAAATAAATTCTTTTCAATTAATTAATGTTTAAGTGAGGTCTTGGTTGAGATAAAAAGTCATTGTCACGAGCGGGATTCTAGCCCACGACCTTGGCTAAATACGCCGCTGCTCTACCACTTGAGTTATCCTGACTTCGATCCACTCGGACACTAATATCCCATCCCTCCCCAACCTTTCGAATTTTCCCTCCGTTTTGTCCTTTTTCAATTGTCGTGTAATCTATTTGATTCTCGGCGACAAATGGCACGGAGAGCTACTTCATTTTGCTTATTAAATCGATTAGGTTTCGTGGTCCGATTGACCAAATAAATTCTTTTCAATGAATTAAACTTTAAGTGAGGTATTGGCTGAGATAAAAAGTCAGTGTCACGAGCGGATCCGAATGGATCGAAGTCTCGATAGTGCAGTAGAGCAGCGGCGTATTCAGCCGAAGGTCGTGGGTTCGAATTTAGCTCGTGAAGCTGACTTTTTTATCTAAATCAATACCTCACTTAAAGATTAATTAATTGAAAAAAAAAAAATGAAAATGTTCGACGTCAGTAGCAATAAATTGTCAAGATTTGATATTATATAATAATAGCTAAATATAGTTGAAATTCTCTTTATTATAAAAGAATTGTTTATAGTCTAAATATTGCTCTTTAAAGATGAAATGGCCTACTGTAGGAAAATTAACAAAATAATGTGTTTTATTGTCTAAATAGAAATTGGACTAATTGGATTGAAGTTTTCAGTTAGTTAGTGAAACTTTATTTAATTTAATCAAACTTCAGTAAACATGCTTAACTTCTTTGTTTGTTAATGAATTGAATACGGCTTTAATAGGGTAATAGTCATACTGCTTCTCTCCTTATATTCCAAGCGAGTTTTAATTGTTGTTTCTCTTTTCATTTTCAGACTGAATTATCTCAGAATCTTCAGCAACTCTCCGAGAAGGCGAGGTCCACGACGGAATTCATACAAAGGCTGAAAGGGATGACGGATAAAATCGGGGTAAGCATTTATTCACTAGTTATCTCAGCTTGTCTTCGCTATTTAACTCGGAATTTCTAAGACGGGCCGAGTTTGTACATTACCATGTTTATCTCGGCGAAGATTAAAAACAGCATTGAGTATCTTTAATAACAAAAAAAATGTAATTTGTAATTTCCTACAAGATAAACATCTTAGTGGGACGTATAAAGGACACCCAAATGTCTACACGGGGCTAAAAAGTTCAATTGTACACAATATTTCTTTAAATATATTTGTATTAAAAAAAAAAATTTTTTGTTCATTTTAATATAATGGGTGTCATTCATTTTCAAGTATGTCAAACTAGATAGGCCATTTCTGTGGTATAATAATCGCGTCATGTCATTGCATAACTGATAATCTAGTAAGTGAAGTTTGGTTTAACCAGTTGATGAACTGTTGTCACCATTAAATAATTATTAAGGGCAACTCTCTCATATGTGATTAACCTTTATCTGTGCTGTCACTCCTAATGTTAAGCGACTAAAATTATTATAAAGATTCATTCTATTAAAATTGTCTCAAATTTTAACTCAAACGTGGGATAATTGTGTACGATTACAGAGTTATTAAGGTATGATTATTCTTTTCAGTTGCCTTTTTTTTCTCTCTAGTTGCTTATTTTTTTTTTTAAAGGAACCTACTAAAGTCAGTAATACTGGACTGGACTAGCTAATGTGGGAGGCAGACATAGTAAATTAATCAATCATTACTTACTTAAGGCATTTAAATCTTAAAAGGGGTGACTATGTACAGGAGATCACTGTCTTCATTGAACCTTTTTTGTTTTTGTTATAATAGGTCGAGAAATATTAGACACGTGGCTTTCTTGCCCAATTGGTCCTGGGAACCTTTGAGAAACAATTCAAGTAATTTTTTATAATAATTTTCCGTCTTTGTCGTGCATGTTTTTGAGGGTTTTAAGTTGTATCTGCACTGTCGGATCAAAACTGGATGAGTCTAATTTTGGCAAAATGAGAAGTGCACACTTCAGTACTTAAGTATTTAGCCCTTCATGCCTGTGTATGATGATGAAATGATCATCTCGTAATTGGGAGGAAAAGGTTAATTCAAATATTGTATTCGTACCAAAAGTCTAAAATTTAAAATCGCAATACTTGAAAAGTTGTGTTTTTGTTACCCAGTTACGAAATAAAATTGAAGACTTTTTATCGAATAAAAAACTAGTTATTTTTGGGTTGAATCTACCGTGGACAGTTTTTTCTTTTCTCCACAGGTCCTTTCTTCCATTTACAAAATTTATAATTATACTGGATTATATCTCAAATATACAAAGGCGTAAACTTTAAAATTGCAATGCTGTACAGATATGAACTTATGTTGAGTAAACTTATGTTTTTGGACTTATCCAGTTTCACAAGAAAATAATATGCAGGATCGATAAAAAGTAAACAAACAATCTTTGTTTTAGACACTCTTTAACACTCCCAATGAAGAATTTTTATCGAATAAAAAATAGTTATTTTTGGGCTGTAACCGCCGAGGACAGTTTTTTTTCTTCAGAAATTAATCTTCCTGTTAAAAATTAATAATTCTACTGGATTATATCCCAAATATACAAAGACGTAAACTTTAAAATTGCAATCCTGAACAGATATATTTTTGGACTTAAGCCGTTACGCAAGAAAATTATATGCAGGATCGATAAATAGTAAAAAAACCTTTGATTTAGACACTCTTTAACACTCCCAATGAAGAATTTTTATAGAATAAAAAATAGTTTCTTTTGGACTGAATCCGCCGGGGACAGTTTTTTTTCTCCACATGTCCTTTCTTCGTTGCAAAATTTATAACTCTTCTGGATTTTATACAACATACGTAAAGGCTTAAACTTTAAAATTACAATCCTGTACAGATATGTTTTTGGACTTAACCGGTTACGCAAGAAAATTATAAGCAGGGTCGATAAAAAGTAAAAAAAAATAGTTTTAAACACTCTTTAACACTCCTAATGAAGAATTTTTATCGAATAAAAAATAGTTACTTTTGGGCTGTAAGCGCCGAGGACAGTTTTTTTCTCCAGAAATTAATCTTCCTGTTAAAAATTAAATCCTGTTAAACATGTCAGTTTTCCCTGTTACAAAATTCATAATTCTACTGGATGATTTTATCCAAAGTATCTACTGGATTATATCCCAAATATACAAAGGCGTAAACTTTAAAATTGCAATCCTGAACAGATATGTTTTTGGACTTATTCAGTTACGCAAGAAAATAATATGCAGGATGGATTAAAAGTTAAAAACTTAACGTACTTTAATCAGCATATTGTCTGTACTTTATAACAGAATTTTTATCGGATAAATAACAGTTGTGGAGAGCCAGGTTATCGCGAGTGAGTGGCAGTCTCCTTGCATCAATTTGTTCCGCTAGATCTTGTTACTTTTTGACATTTTTTCTTTTAAAACTTCACACAATCTATCGATTTTTTGAGTATGGACATAGGAGTCAATAGTTCTGCCAACCTGGCGAGTGAAAAAGTAAAATAAGAAATCTTTATCTCAACCGTAAATAACAGCTTAATGAAAGTAAATCTTTCAAAATTCTGTTCAATTTATCATTAAATCAATAAAGATTTTATGTTAAAATGCAAATTGAATTTTCAGTTTGAACCACATAGAGGAAGAAACTCCTTCAAACTTAACTATTATGCAAAATCCTGTTCCCCTTCGATTAAACGTGAAAGTTTAGACGACCCTATTCTAGAAATGAATATTGAAATATTATTTAGCTCATCTAATAATGGTTCGTTATTGTTTGAGGTCAATAATTTCGATAAACTCAAGAGCATATTGTATAATTTTTATCGAAACGCCCTGCTATCTCTTCTATATGTTCTTATATCGTCTCAAGCATTTGCTCCTTAACATTACAGAAATAAATGTCACCAAATTTGTTGAACGCTGTGCAACAATATTGACCGTTCTTATCAGATTCTGAAGTAAATATAATTATTTTCGTTTTAAAGTTGTTAATCACTGCTGTCCGCTACCTACTCAAGACTAACCTGGAAACAACACGACTAAAGCGACAGGCAATAAACCAACGTTTCGGACTATTGTTGCGCAAATCTAATGTTTCAACGAAAAACTGACAATCTACAAACAATTCTAAAACCTATCTGGACGTTCGGACTATAACTGTGGGGCACCGTCAAACCTTCCAATATACAACGACTACAGTCTTTCGAATTCAAAGTCCTCAGAATTATAGCCAATGCTCTTTACTACCTCACAAATGATCCCGGAAACGGATCTTCTCAATTTCCTATAAAGTCTCAATGGACTTTAAAGGAGAGGAAGAACACAGGAGAGTATCAGATACAATGATATAGTACACAGATGGCTCCAAAACAAACGAAGGAACCGGATCAGGCGTTTTCTGCACAAGCCCAAAACAAGAGCAATCAAACTCATTAGGGAAGTGCACTTCGGTCTTTCAAGCGGAATTACATGCCATCAATGCTTGTGCCCTGGAAAATCTTAAAAGAGGTTACACTGACAAAAAAATCCTCATAAGATCAGATAGCCAAACAGCCATTAAAGCATTAGCATGTAAAAGAATCACATCAAAATTAGTCAGTGAATGTATCGAAAATTTCCTAAACCTGGGGAAACACAACAACCTGATGATATCTTTGGTGCCAGGGCACAGAAGAATTTTGGGTAACGAGAAAGCAGACAGACTGGCCAAAGGAGGATCTGCAAGACCATACTTAGGTCCCGAACCTATTCTTCACAAATATAGAATCCTCCATCGCAGAATGGATCCAAGCAAAACAAAAGGAGAAGTGGATAAACTTTAGCGGTACATGACATAATAGACTTATGATGAAACAACCCTCACCGAGATTGGCAAAAACACTACTGCACTTGGAGGGGGCCAAACTCAGAGGACGGGTAGGACGACTAACCAGTCACTGGCATCTGAGAAAACATCTACACAACAAGGGGTATATACAGCGATGATCCCATTTGCAGATTATGTAACGAGGAAGAGGAAACAGCCACCCATATCATCTTCGAAGGCGAAGCAACAGCTCAATGGAGGTTTAACCTAACGTACGGAAAAAACTTAGGGAATCAAATTGCAGCAGCAACAGTCATTGACCTGATACTTCTAAGAAGAAGGTTTGAGTCTATTGCCTGAACTAAGGAACTAGGAAGGTACAATAAGCCAGAAGACTGCAGTGCCTGGGGAGTACAAATCCTGCTTCCTAATATCCTTTTCTACCATACCATACTACCTCACAAAAAAAAATCAACACCCTTCACAACGATCTCAAAATCCCTTTAGTGGAAAAATATAATTCCCAAAACCTTTTTCCAGCTTCTACACTGAGCTCTTCTCTCACCCCAATCGAGTTGCCCAATACTTATCCAATAGAAACCACCCTTATTTTCTAGAGGAAATAGCCTCGCTGGGAGAACCACAATGGTTGTTAACTCCTCTCATACACATGATCCATGTCATTTCTAAATTTAACTCATTGCATGTTATAAGTAATGTTTCTGATTGTAATAATTATATATACAAAAGGTTTCAGATTTCATTGGCTGGTGATTACTAAAATCCGGTTTTTGAGCAGTCCAAATAGACAATTTAAATTCTTCCGTCCCTTCTTATGCCAAAATGCCTATTAACGTAAAGTGTTTCTTAATAAACAATATATTATTTAGCAATAGCAATTTCAAACATTTTCTAGGTCGTAACGTCTAATAAAAAATAAACATAAATTTCATATTTTGTTTATTCCCAAGCTTTTTTCGTGTGATATTCATACATGTTCTAATGCATATTTAATCATACCAGGAACACTGCAACGAGTTCGAAGAGATAGTTATCCAAGAATGCGACGAGCTCATATCCGCCCTGGAAGCCCGCAAACTCCAACTTGTCGAATACGTCCGCCAGGAAAAAGACGGGAAGGTGCGAGCCCTGAAGGATCAAGTGGCAGCATGCACTGGCAAACTTCAGCATACAACTGCTCTCATGCATTTCTGCATCGAGGCACTCAAAGAGAACGATTCGTCGGCTTTCCTCCAGGTAAGAAGTAAAATCATGCAAAACACACATACCTGTTTACTAGTAAAAAGTGACGCAGACATTAAATTTAAAATATTCCTAGAGTATTTTGTGTATATTAATAAATTGATATTAACAACAAATAAGTTAAATCTGGGACGTTATAAATGAAAAAAAATAAGAAGAATTTCATCCCCAAAAACAATTCAGGCTACTTATTTAAGTAATCACCTCATATAATTATTTTCTACTCTGCTCAGTTAATAATTTCATTTATATTCTGTTTTCCTTACTAACTTGTAATTGTAATGACTACATACATGGCTTTAACGTGAGCAGAAAATCTCTCCGGACCTCATTAATCATTGTTTTCATTGTGTCCGAGTAAGATGACACGGGTGAAGAAACATGGACAAAGCGATTATGCCTTGATTACGCTCTGTAGCGTCCAAGTAGAGCTCGTATCATTTTCAAGTTGAAAAAAAAAGTAAATACGGAATGACGAAATTATTGCAGCAGATCAGAAAACACGAGTAATAGTAACGTCAGGACCATTATTTTGGTTGGATTGACAGTAATCAAACAATCTACAAATAGCGATACATGGAATATTTATATGTGTATTTATATGGTGTTTTCCAGACAGACCGTCACTATCTAAGGAAGTTATCCTTCATATCACATTTGACTAAATTTGACCATTTCTATTGTCAAAAGTCTGATTCTCAGTTGTATTATAGATATGTTTAAATTCCTTCAACCTTTCACAACTTTATTCCATATTCATTTACTTAATCTTTATGTAATGTATTGGTTGAGATAAAAAAGTCAGTGTCACGAGCAGTATTCGAACCCACGACCTTCCGCTAAATACGCCGCTGCTGTACTACTTGAACTATCCTGACTTCGATCCACTCGGACACCAACTTTTTTATCTCAACCAATACTTTACATAAAGATTAAGTAATTTATAAACTCTAAGGGCGCCAGACACAGTAAAGTTATGCTAAAACAACCCTCGCCAAGACTGGCAAACTAACTGCTACAGTTAGAGGATGTTAAACTGAGAGGAGTGACGAGACGATTTACCGGTCACTAACATCTGAGAAAAAATCTACACAACATGGGTATATTCAATAATGATACCATTTAAAAATTATTGAACGAGTAGGAAGAAACAACCATCCTTGATCTGCGGATGTGAAGCAACTGCTCAATGGAGACATAACCTGGATATAAAGAAAAGCCGGGGAAAATAATTGTAACGACAGTCAATGACCTTGATTCTTTAAAAGAAGGATCGAATCGACAGGGTAAAATAAATTAACTAGGAAAGTTGAATACAGAAGGCTGCACTGCTTGGGGTACATAAACCTCCACTTCATAGTCTCCTTTCATCAACATCATCAACCAACCATACCATTCGAAAGCTTATTAAAAGAAGCAGTTTTTGTGAAATTTTCCATTCCCTACGGAGGAATTGTCGTGGTGAATTTTTGAAATTATTCGAAGATCTTCCAATGTTTAAATTTGACAGGTTTGTGACAGCGAAACGGCTATCAGTCGTGCTGAAACGGTTCCGGGATGTCACTGAATTTTTTAGACAGTTTAACGTAAATTTTAAAAATGAACTCGCCTTTTTAGGAAAATTGGACGGGTAACGAAGAAAATGTTTTTTTGTTTGACAAGTCCGTTTTATCCAAAAAAAATTAAAATATTGTTATTCGAAAATCGTGAGATGCGGTCTGGTGTGATGTAGGTTTCAGAAAAACATTTTCTTTATCGTGCCAACGTTTCGATCTTTATTGAGATCATCTTCTGGGCCTGGGATTTATAAACATTGTTTACATTTAATAAATACATGTAGGATGTGGAAAAAGTGAATTTATACAATGTAAATGCAATGTAAATACAATGTTGTACAATAATTTGTACAATGTAAATAAATACAATTTTTTTTATTTTTTATTTGGCCACACATTAAAATATTTATCTTCTTGACAGAGGGATTTAGAATAAATGTTTTTGAGGTATTCTAGTCAATTTACAGTCTCCTATCACCAAAATATTTTGCATATCATTGCGATCCAACCTGTACATAAGGGAGGACATAAGTTAAAGTATAAAACTTAATCATTTCACTATGGAATTTATTAAGATAATTATTGGAAGTCAATTATAAGACAGCTCCATATATGTTTAGCAGTCATAATTGACCATATTAATTATTTCATCTAATTATACTTTCTATCTAAAGTCTTGGTTGAGATGGAAAATCCAGTGTCACGATAGCTTAAGTGGTTCGTGGGTTCGAATCCCGCCCGTTACACTGTTTTTTTCATCTCAACCTTAGACAGAAAATATAATTGATATAAGACAACTGTTTAAATAAACTTTTAGCTCATTCTAATTTTGTTAATTTAATGTCCCACTCAAGTTTTCTTCGAGATAAATAGAGAAATCTGGGACATTAATAAAGAAGAAATTAGACCGTCTCAATGGCACCAGCCGAGAAAGAAGAAACACAAAGCCCAAAACCATTTACAATTATTTAATATCCTTCCTTTCCGGACTTAATAATGCAGGTGGAATGATTTCCTTCGTTTATTAAACCCGTCACGAATGCTGAATCACTGCTTTTGAAAAAATTCCCCTAACTTATTTTCCATATCACCACCTCGCTGGAATTAAATCTTAAGCAGTTCTATTGTACATTTTTTTTAAATATATATTTCAGATCGGGACAATGCTGATCAGCAGGGTGGCGAACGAAGACATGGTCTGGTATCAAGATCCGAACCTGGCTTGTCCAAGAGTCTCGCCTTATTGCGATTTAACGTTAGACCAGAAGCCGCTCGCAAAGGCCATTGAACAACTCAATTTCATACAAATGAGACGTAAGTATTTTTAAACGACATAAACGGTTATTTTAAATCCCCAAATTTAAAAAACTGCCGTGTTCACCTTTGTAAAATCCGAGAAACTCATCAAATGTAACATATAATTTTAATTTGGAAGATTTTCGCGTTACACTCCCGAGTGTCAGTTAACTTTTCTCCGTTTTTATTTGCTTGAACCGAGTTCCGGCCCAAGTTAATAAAGTTTTACTTCTTTTGAACTCCTGACCTATATAAGAAGGAAAAAGTCATTAAATCTTTTTCGAGCTTATTTACGATCTTGATTTATACTCAGTTATTAGTACCGAATTCGTTCCACTACAGAGAAATCGGACTAGAAATAAAAAATTTAATGTCAGTGAAGCCTTTATTTTTACGAGTTCTTTATTAAAAATTTGTTTTTCTTAACCTTTTCCCTTTGTGAAGCTGCTTCATTTAAATTAAAAATTTGTCCAGCATTGAACTAGAGCATCGGTGGCCGCAACGGTTGGCATGGCGGTCAACACCAAGGTCCCGGGTTCGAATCCAGCGGCCCTGCATTCCAACCCGACATACTTACAAATGGGCTTTTTTTTTCAAAAACACCGGCACCCTGAGGGTTGATATGATTTCTGTTGTTGCGAACTTTTGGTTAATATATTACTGTTAAACAATATATCGATAACCTTTTTTTTCTTAGTTTCTCTGTTTCACACGCGTCTGATAAATCTTTTGATAAACGATTCTCTTTCACTGAATGTTTATTTTGCTCACCCTGGGGTCACTATTTATTTTAATGTTATAAATTTTTTTATTTAATATCGAATTAAGTTTTTAGTTTTCTTACATTTATTATTACAACACGTGGCTAAGCAATTAAAATTCAGAATAGTTTATTTGTTTTCCTGTAGTCTATAAAAAACAAAATAATATTCCAATTCCTTTCAAATTTATTTTTTCAAAATTGTCTGAACCTTTATTCACTGATTAATTTGTTAAATAATTTTAAAGCTGCAAAAGATGGAGAGGAAAGAATTCCAGCAGGTATGATTTATAGTAAGTAGTTAGTCATTTGCATGTTTTCTGTATATCTCGATCATCCTCTGGTGGAAATCAACGATTTGAACAAATAATATAGTTTCATTAAAATATGAAAATATTTCATGTTTTATGTTTATTATTGTACGGCTTTCATTGGATATTAGTGTATCTAACAAGCAGACTTGGGAAAACAGAATTTGCTTTGATGATGCTTGGTCGAAAAATATTAGACGTTCCTGCCAATATTGGCCATAGGAGCTTAGAAAGAAGTTTTATGTAATTTAAATATATTTTAAAAATTTGGTTTTATGCCTTTGTTGTGCATGCATTTCAGTGTTATTATATATTATAATAGATTATTATAGTAGATTTGTATTTTTACGTGGAAGAAGAAGACAATATGCAGTATTAAATGAGGTTAAATACAATACGTAAAAAGTTACAAATTTCAAAAAACGTTTTCAGTAAAATAGACAACAAAATTTGTTTTTGAAAAAATCAGTTTGTATTTGTTGTTAAGTACGCTTTAAAAACCTTAGATACAAATTTTTATAGCAAACAAAAAATATACGTTTTTGTGCTTGGATTTCCGGGAGGTAATTTTTTCCAAATTGGTCGTTTATATAAAAATTGAAAAGCGGAAGATTTCATCTTTCACGCTATATCTTCTAGCTTAGGTTTTTATTGTTATTTTAAGCGAAACTCCCCAAATATTCGGTGCTTATTAATCTGTAGAGGTAAGGTTTGTGTCTTTACTTTAATCCTCCATATTTTCCTATGGATCAGTGGAGACGTTTTTAAGTTATCACAATTTCGGTAATTTTCGAAAAAAAAATCGGAAGGCGAAAAATTTGAGAGAAAAAAATATTGTTGGATTGTCCAAAAAACACGTTAAAGTTTAAAAAACAACCCTTTTTTGTGGGGTGTGAAAATTTAAAAGGTTTTAAAAAGTGCTTAAAACGAATCAGAAATGGTTTTTCAAAAACCCCTTTTTTGGCCTGCTTTACTGGCAGCCTGCTTTACAAATTCATTAAAGTTGGTGATCTGTAGCCCCCTTGTAAGGCAAAAAAATAGATTACTTGCAATGAAATAATTTGTTTTATCAATTCAAATATTCAGTTTTATCTTGTATTTTCTGGATATATTAAGTTTTGTTTTTATGGATTGTTTATTTTTTATTTTATTGCAAAAATTGTTTCACATGATTTATTCTTAATAAATGGTTTTTGAATTTCAGCTCCAAATGCTCCAGTTGTAATTCCCGAAGAATGCAGTGCAGAAAACAACAGTGTAACTGTAGCCTGGCAGCCTCCGCCGACTTCATACGTAGAAGGTTACGTACTTGAATTGGACGATGGGAATGGTGGAGAATTCCGAGTATGTAATCCATATTTCTGTTGAATTATTTATTTAATAAAAACAAAACAAAAAGATTTATTTCTTTATTAAAAATTTATACGATTTTCAGGAGGTTTATTGTGGCAAGGAAACTATTTGTACTGTAGATGGGCTACATTTTAATTCTACCTATAATGCCAGGGTAAAGGCATTCAATAGTACGGGAGAAGGTGAATATAGTGAACTTATTGGTCTACAAACTGCAGAAGGTAAAGATAATGTAAAGATAATTAATTTAAAAAAATTTCATGTTCAATTTAATTGAATTTTTTAATGTTTTGTTTAGTTGCCTGGTTTACATTTGATCCCGGATTAAGTGGGATGGAATTGAGATTCTCTGAGGATAATTGCAGTGTATCAGCCTGCGAGGGTTACGAGCACAGAGTGGCACTCGGGAGCGTCGGTTTCTCTCGAGGGGTTCACTACTGGGAGTTCACAATTGACAGATACAACACAGATACTGATCCGAGTTTCGGAATTGCAAGGATAGACGTGAGCAAGGATCAAATGCTAGGTACCATTTAGTACAATCGAATCATTGGACAAATTTCACTTTTGATTATTTTTTAACAGGCAAAGATGAAAAAGGTTGGGGCATGTACATAGACAGGCAGAGGTCTTGGTTTGTCCATGCGAACATGCATGGGCAACGATGTGAAGGAGGTATTCAGCAAGGGTCGACAGTGGGCGTCCTTCTCGATCTCAATAGGCACCAAGTCAGTTTTTATGTCAATGAAGAACCTCACGTAAGTTTCAAACAATATTATTTTGATTATTAATCGTTTGCTAAATTTAGTATATTTTATAATTTGAAAATATTGGGTTCTAAAATAACTTTTTAAACTCAGGATTTTTTTTTAACAATGAAGTTTTTGGTGTTTTCTGCAGTACTCAAGTAAAATAAATGTTTCCCTATTAATAGAGTTTTACAAAACCCAGAATAAATGAAAATCTGAAGGGGCAATGCCAGGTGAATACGATTGGTCGGGTAGCCCAATGGTAGGATGATATCATATCCAACCAAGTCCCCTTCTGGTAGTCTGCAAATGCACATGGGGTAGAAAACTGCCAGCCATTTTTGGTCCATTGCTAACTTTAATTGCTCCCATTGTGTGTAGTAGATAGCCTCAACAGTTTAGGCGTTGACACGGCATTCATCACTGTAAGGTAAAGGTCCTGGGTTCGAATCCAGCAACCTGCATTCGAACTGGACATACTTAAAAAAACAATTTTTCAAAAACACCTGCACCCCCGAGGGTTGATATGATCTCTGCTGAAAAACCTTGTTAAAAACGAACAAAAATGTGTGAAGTATACACGATAGATTAAGGGTTAAGTGGTAGAAGATATTAAAAAAACTGCCTCTTCCAATCCAACCAAATGGACAGCATTATCTTCTTGGGATGTAATCCAGCTTTTGGAGTTGTTATTAGTGGATCACTGTTTTGCCTAGGATTTTCTTCGTGGAACATGTTTTCATCCTAAGTTATCAATCATTTTAAAAATTGATTGTTTCCATTGTTTTAAGAGGGAATCGAATTGGAAGTGCTTTTCACACTTCATCACCATCACAAATTTTCCTAGAAGTCTGAACATTACTGCAATAAAAACCACTAAATAATAAAAAATTCTATGTTTTTCCTCAATGTTAAATTCCCAAAACACCTTGTAAAAATAAGAGATCTCGGTAGAAATTGGTGAATAAAAATAGCTTAACTAATACATTTTCAGATTGTGTAAACAATAATGACTAAATTAAATATTAATCAATTAATTAATTTAATAAGTATTGACAACTTCATCCTGTTGGAATGGCACTATATTCACCATCTACACTCATGGGTTTTTAATGTCAGTAAAACAAGTTTCAGCTTTGCACTGTATATCTTAAAAATGTGAATAATTATTTAATTCAAAACAAGACAGTTCCTCACTGAAGATAGCACAAAGCCAAACGTGTTTGAGTACCATCAAAAACCCACCAGTGTAGATGGACCCAGTGCCTGTTCAGTATGTATTCAACAACTCACAGACTAATGGCTGAAAAAATAATTAAAATTATACGCTTTTTTAAACGTGTAAATAGAGAATTGATGTTAAATAAAGCAAATACATCGGCTCCCTGAGGGTTCATATGACATCTGTTGTTGCGAACCCTTGTACAAATAAATAAATAAAGCCAATACTAATGTTTGTAAAAATTATTAATCTGCCTTGTTTTAGGGACCCATTGCATTTCACAACCTTTACGGAGTGTTTTACCCTGCTGTAAGTGTAAATCGTGGAGTTACCGTGACGCTTCACACTGCTCTCGATCTTCCTTCAGACATTGAGGATTCCTAAGAAGGGCGTACGGCAATTTTCTTTATAATAACAAAGGACTATTGTGATATAACTGATGTTTTGAAGTCTATTCACCAATCCTTTAATGTGTTGTCATTAATTGATAGTCTCAATGTGCATCAGAACCGAAATTTTCCATTATGATGTTTTCGTGGTTCTGTCTTTTGAAATTTTATTTGCACTTATTATTAAAACAATTGTCCATACTTTTTCTAAATGTTTAGTGTTTTAACTTAAATAAAATTTAAAATCTGTTGTTCAGCGTATCTTAAGATGATATAGGTGTCTTTAATTAAAGAAAGATATATTAATTGATTAGAAATTAAATATTTACAAATTGTAATTATTAATGTTTGTTTTGTCTTAAAACTATTTTTCTCAATATTGGTGTTATTTCTAAATGTTATATCACAATGACTTTATAAAATGATTCTAATATTTATGAACATTAATATTTTAAATATGTAATGAACTATTTTGCATATCATTAACATCAAATTGTTTAAAAAAGAGAAAAAATTTTACACTGTGCTCAGAAAAATGTACTATTAACATTTGTAACAAACATATTGTAATTATTATTACTCTGAAGATATTAGTTGTACTTTATCATGCCACTGTCAGAAAACTATTTGGGATAATTTTAATTTTATAAGTATTTACTAAGTACTTTTTATAAGTAAGTCTAGGCTAAGGAAGTAAGATAATTTGATCTCAATCAAGAGTGTATTAATTTTCAGTTTTTGATACATCTGATATATGACCATTCGTGTTTTAATTCGCCTTTTCTCTTCATATTTCCTTGAAAATGTTGAGGTGACAGACTGAAAATGGAAAGTAGGATGCTGTGGATGTCGACTGAATAAATTAAATTACAAAGCCGTTAAAATAAATTCTACCTGGTATAATAAAAAGTGTCAGTTATAATAAAAGGTCGTTAAAATATAAATAATTAATTTGGGCAAAATTAATTAAATTTGAAAGTTGTATAACTAGTGTTAACATTTATCAAAACATTTCAATTTGGGGTTTAACAGTTCAAGTTGGGGTTTACAAAAGATTAATCTAAATATTAAACTATTTGAATTTTTTTTATAATTTTTTTCATACAGTTCATTCCATATAAACTAAATTTATATTTATAATGGATAAATTATACATTACAAATTTTTCAGTGGATTAAATACTAATAATATTATTAATGTGCGATGTGATTTTTCTCCCATCCAATTAATGTAACGTGGGGTCATTCGTGCAGATTTTTGCTCACAGGTTTCACCTCAATGTTGTCCAACATTTCGATTTTTTACCTTTTCCCTATGAATATTACACACGACATTTAAAAGAAAAATTACTATATTTTTATTAATTGTAAGCAGTGTTGTTGACACTTAAAACAAATATTTAAATTTCCTTTCCCCAAATGGCTTAGAAAAAGAATTATTTTAATTTTTAATTTTGTTATTATAGTTTACATTTCAGTAAACAATAATTTTTAGATTTTATTTATGAAAAAAATAATAAACAAATATCTATTTTGTACATAGTTGTAAATAAAAATGACAAATTTTGGGTGAGTGTTTCTAATTTTATTTGAATTCGTTTAAAGAAATATTCCATTTGTGTTGATATTTTCCAATGGTGCAAACACTGCCATATTGTTTGTTTTACACCATTTAACACGGTTTAATTAGAAAACTTAGCTTGAATAATAGACAGGGTACAAGTTTGTTTAAAGAAAGCCCCCTTTAAATATGAAAAAGGAAAAAAAAAATTAAGGATGTAGTATTTACAGTATTTACCACCAGTGTAGTTTTATCTTAAGATTAGGAAGACTGACTGTTGTAAGAGAAAAAGGCACCGAATAGACAGCATAATATATTTAAATTAGTGCGGTCAACATGCATGAATGTCTGAGTAATTTATCCTTGTTTGTAAATTATGCAATATTATATAATATTTGTAAGACATTTATAATACTTTAAAGACCTATGAAAAGTTTATTTTTTATTTTGTTTGTTTTCTCCTAGTACAATGTATAAAAAAATGACATCCTGTAAAATTATTTATGTACTATAGTTATTTATCAGTTTAATGAAATTAACAGTATTTGTTCTGCATTAAATAAATTATTATAAATATATATATAGATATAAATGTATTTTTAAATAATGTCATATCGATTCCACATATAAGTGTTACTATTATTATTACAATTATGATGCTTTAACTATGTAACTACACTGATAAATACATAAAGTCATTGAACTGAGTATTAAGTTCCCTAATAATCTATCTGCATAAGAATACGAGATATAGCAAGCACTCAATGAATCTTTTTTTTTTCTAAATGATGTGAACGTTATGAACTACAAATACTACTAGTTAGCATGAAAAAAAAGGGCCAGGGGCGAAGATGGGAATTGAACCCATGACCGTGGTACAGTAGCTGAAAGTCTATCATGCTAACTACTCAGGTAACACATTTCGCCAATCTTCAGTCTTGTTAATATTATTCTTTCTTTCCTATCTCTCTCTCTCTCTCTCTCTCTCTCTCTCTCTCTCTCTCTCTCTCTCTCTCTCTCNTCCTCTCCCCCTCTCTCTCTCCCTCTCCTCTCTCTCTCTCTCTCTCTCTCTCTCTCTCTCTCTCTCTCTCTCTCTCCTCTCTCATGATATGAGAATATTGCTACAATTTTCGATATCTCTTCAAGTGTTGGTAAGATTTGAGGTCATACTAATTTCCAATAGATCCTTCCATGTAGAAATAGAAAAAAATAGAAATCATTGTTAAATTGAATTTGACGTCAAGTGATAATGAATAACTTCTATTTAAACAAAAAAGAATATTGAAAAAGAAAAGAAAATTAAATCTTTGCCATTGACTAACATAAATTTGCGAAACTTCCCAAAAATAAAAATAATCTTTCTAAAAAAGAGAATTGCACTAGCGTCAACATTAAAAGTGAAAAAGTACCAAAGTGAACCACCGAGGAGTTTGTATTATTGGGTTGGTGCAAAATTAATGCAGGTATATATATATAAGGTTAGGGGTATATATAGGTCTCCCCCTTGGTGGTTACTCCTTTTCGCATAGTAATATCATACAATCATTACATAAAATTACAAAATTAAAATTATAAAAACTATATAAAATTACAAAACAATATAAATATACTAATTTAAGCAATAAAGAACAATCACAGTTTTAGGTACTATATAACAATGTTAACTTATTTTTAAAGAAGTAACCAGCCCGGAATTATCGGTACTAAAGTTATACACTTAAATATATCACAGTTTAGTCACAGGTGGTTTATAAAAGTTTTTTTCAGGTACTTGGTTTACTACCCGCTAGGATGCTCTGTGTAAGCTGTTTGAATACATGATACGTTTGCTCTCTTTTCACAAGTTCCTTCAATAATGGAGGCCATATATTCTGAAAATTGTTTCGTACGTCTTCACGAACATTGCATAACTGACAGTTTGGGGTATGAGCTCTCTTGAATTTGTGCAGATAAACTGCAAAGTTTCCATGCCCCGTAAGCATTTGTGTGGACCAAAAATCTGGTTGCTTTTTTCTTTCTTTAATGATGGGAAAGAACTCATTCGCAGGTGCTTGTCTTGTAACTGAATTTATGTGTTATAATAAATTCTTTTAACTGTTATCTTTTATACAAAATATTTTAGTTTATGTTGAATTTTATAAGAATGAGAACCTGCCAAATTAAATATGTTCAAACTAGATTTTCGTCAAATTTATTTGCTCGAATTTAAACTTGGGCGAAGTACGGCCCAAACCGCGCGAAACATCAATAAAGTTTGAAGAGAGGGAAGCATTAGTGAATGCACGGGCAGATATGGTTTCAGAGATTTTGATCTCGAAGACAGGGAAGGTCGCCTTCCTTGTGGACGACGACCAACACAAAACGTTGATTGAAGAAAATTCACGTAATACAACACGCGGAATCACGGAAGAGCAATCCTAACCATCCCTAACCGTTGTTAGCAAATTGGTGAAGTAAAGAAGCTCGAAAAGTGGGTACCACATGAACTAACCGAAGCCAAAAGAAATCGACGCTTTGAAATGCGCACGTCACTTCTGTTGCGGCACCAAATGATCCATTTCTTGATCGAATCATCACGTGAGATGAGAAATGGATTTTGTACAGACATAACAGGAGCCGTACAGGTCAATGGTTGGACAAGGCTGAAGCGTCAAAACACTTCCCGAAACCAATCTGCACCCTAAAAAGGTTATGGTGATTGGTAGTGTACTGCTGGGGTTGTTCACTATAATTTACCGCGGAATATAAGTTGGTAAAGATGTATACATTGTGATGGAAAAAAGTTCGAATAAATTTTCTTTATTTAATAAAAATTAAAAGTATTTTGTTTCCCTTTTCAAAACCTGCATTATTTTTGCACCAGCTCCATATCAAGAAATTTTTAATTATCAAGTTTCGAAGGAGTCGACTGTATTTGTTTAATGTTTAGTTCCGTAAACTTATTTTCACACCAGGAAAGGTTAAAAAGAAAGGATTGAGGAAGACAGTCAATGTATGATATTTTAGATAATATAAAATTATAATTAGCCTATAATTTTATAATATATATATATTAATATCTTCTAGAAAATCTTTTATATTGTCTGCAAACATAAGAAACTCTTGAGAGGCTGGGCAATGTTGATTGTGAAAATTAACAAAGTAGATGGCTATGGAAAGAACCTTGGGGTACACCAATGAAGCTAAGAAAGAGTCAGAAAGTACATCACAAACATATTTAATCGAATTTGTGGTAGTATTTTGACAAAGGTATGCTGTTCGCATACCACGCGTTTGGAAATTAAAACACATTTTGACTATCAATCGATAACCTTCGAAAAGTTACACAATATGGTAATTGGCCCATTATTGAAAATGAGTGATTTTGGCATGTTTTACGGAGCACTGGAAACCGTCTAATCATTTATATCCTGTAGTTAAATATGATTTATGATAGACCTTCTTTAATGAGAGATTTTTTTAAAACTCAAAGTTGAACTAGATAGTAGGTGGTGGGTTATGTTGGATAATAGGAACATATTTTTGTATGCAGATTGACAGGGCTATTTATTCGCGCCCAGCGGTTTCTCCATTCTTCTTTCAACATATCTGATACTAATAGTTTTAAATATGCTTGGCGTACTGATGCGAAGTGTCGTGAGGGTCTTTCAGCATCTACTTTTGCTGCCTTATTTTCTTTTTCGTCCCCGGGTATCCCTTATGACCAGGAGCCCACATCAACACGACCTTCCCATGAATTTTTTTTTTTTACTAAAAGTGCTTGAGATAAGGTGGGGTTATATTAGAAAATATTCTAAGCTTTCTTTAAATTAAATTTAAAAAAATAAAGTCATGATCATAACACAGTATGAAAAACACGAAAATGAGTACAAACATTGAAAGAAAGAAAGATCAATAAGAAAGCAAAAGCTTGTATATCTATTTACTAAGATCGATGAGACGCGTAATTTTCCCTTTTAATAAATTAATATCGTATCTCCAATTAATCCGGTTTTCTCCATGATAGTGTTTACAGTTTAATTTAACTTAGCCTCTTATTAATGATTTTTAAATGATTTGTATTGATGTTTTTTTTGGCTTATTAAAATAATAAAGAAAGATGACCGACCAAAGGCTTTACCTTGTGACCTTTCTTATTATTTAAATTGCGAACATAGGTATGTGGAAAATCGATAACCCTTACATATTGAGCTTGAAT